GTTTTGCGTCGGTTACTCTGCATAGTATTCTGCGTATTCGGCTTAGTTTTATGAAATCAGCAATTGGCCCAGGATCTTTGTGATCTGGATATTTGACAATTCCTGTTCCATATCCCTCTAGTTAATGCCATTTAGTGAAAAATTCTAGTTTTACAATAATTTGTTTAATAACTTGATGAAATGAAGGAATATCTTTCAGGTAATTCTACATGCGCCTCATATAATAATACAAAAGACTTTAAAAAATATGTGCCAAATGAAAGAACGACGAGGTATCCTGTTAATTTTGGTGAAGTCCCCATTTTGGTTTCCTAATAACATAAAAAAGTATAACTGTCCAGTTACTTGTTTATAAGGCATGTTGTGGAGAGTGCTACTGATAAGATTTATTAGTAGTATATATATAAAGAGACATTCATCGCATAGGAAGGAAGGCGGTGGATCGGAATGCGTAACACATGTCCTAAACTATCTTACTCAATCGATGTAACTTCAGAATCTCATCGACAAACTTCCCCTCCTCACCTAGTACTTGACGCCTAAAATCAACACCGTATGATACCACTTAACACGGGAGGTAGAACACAAACATGCCTGGTCAAATACAGCTAGCCTTTTCAAATATTTCACTCGTAATGCCTGTCTCGCGTCGGTGGCATAGCGGTTGGGACGCTCGCTGACCATGCACATGGTCCAGGGTTCGATCCCCATCCACCGACGCACTCCTTTACCTCGCTAAGCCAGAAATAATGCTGGTGAACAGGAAAGGTTGGGCATGAGGCTAGCAACCCCATCCCGTAAAATAAACACTGCTAAAGAAACTTCAAGCCACTAGCTTGAAGCCCTATGTTCCACAGGGGAACGTGAAGAAAAAAATGCCTATGTCTCACAGCCACAAAGGAAAGCAGAGAGAACTGGTGCGCAGTTCATACTTTTTTGGCTCGATAACAGGATATCATGTACACTCCAGAGATGATGTAATTCCCCGAATGCTACGCCAGCTTTTTATATCTGTACTGTTACTAGTTTGTGTCGATACTAACCTTGAAATACATCTAGTCGCCAAAGCTGTCACCACTGAATATCAGTAGTATGTGTATTAGTTGGCATGTGGATGCGTTCAAGTGTCAGTAAATAATAAAGTATGACTATTATTATGATTTATTAACAGAACAAACATCCTACATGTATTTTAACAACCAATAAATAAATAAGAGACGATTACAATATCATCACATATGACATGAATCATACAATAGTTTAACTAAGAAATCAATTCATCATAGTTTCAAAGGTCAACTAAGCTGTAAACAGGTCACACAAACACACACCCACACACATACAAACACTACGCATATTCATAATCTTAATCGAAACAATAATAAATTAAATTATATCATCACTAATATATATTTTATTACCTGTGGGGTAACAGACAAACAGAACAAAGAATACGCTTGATTTAAACAACAACTACGTAAAGAGCGTTCAATTTATTTCAATTTATCTATTGAACACCTACACGATTTATTGTCGAACTAGTAGTAGGTGTTTGCAATAGAAATAAACCTAATCAGCGATAAAATTTGAAACATTAGCTAAGCAACCACCCCCAGCTAGCTTGCAGAAAATGCTGGATACTAGTATAGAGGTAGAAGTATTTTGAATGCCCCATTGATTGATTTTATTGGATAGGAGTGCTGCGTCGAGCAGAAGAGATGGCACTTTCGGATCGGCGCTTGAAACGATGAGTGCTGGGTTTGAGTCACAATGGGGCAAAAATCACAACCTCTTTTACCTACCTGGGAAGCATCGTTTCAACTACAGGCGGATAAAACTGATGAGGATATCAAAGCAAGAATCGGAAAAGTAAGACAAGCTTTCACTACTCTCAAGTCTCTGTGGAGGTCAACAGCACTCAGCATCAAAAATAAGATCCGGATTTTCAACTCCAATGTGAAGTAAGTGCTGCTATGCATACGGATCAGAGACTTGCACTGCGCGTCATAAAGAGCATCTCAAACAAACTACAGACCTTCATCAACAGTTGTCTTCGCTCAATACTACTCAAGATCAGATGGCCAGAGAAGATCAGCAGCAGGGATCTCTGGCGATGAGTGAACCAACCAGGAACCGATTGTGAAACAAATAGACAAGATGAAATGGAGATGGATTGGCCATATTCTGAGGAAACCATCAAGTGACATCACTAGACAAGCCATTGCTCGAGTGGAACCCAAAAGGGAAGCGGCGAGTTGGTCGTCAGTGCAAGGGTGACTTGGAGGAGGTCATGTGAAGAGGAGATGAAAACGTGTGGGCAGACTTGGAGCCAGGTGAAAACTCTAGCAGAGAACCGAACGCAATGGAGACGCGCCGCTGAAGCCCTATGTTCCTCTAGGAATTAAAGGAAACAATAATAATAATAAAAATAAGTAGGAAGAAGCACCCATTCTGTATTCCACCGTTAGCAACTAACAACTAAATAGCACCATCGATAGACACTGGTTTGTAAGACGAAGAAAATAGGTTTATGCTTCGAGAATTGAGATATTTTAATGTAAATGTAGAGCTTGGGTACTGTGGTAGAATGTAATTCCATATTAGATACTTTAGATACTTTCAACAGTCAGTTCAGTAGAATCATGGATTCATTGAAATAAATTCACAAAATCCAACATGAAGTCATGCTCCGACCACTGTTGGATAATTATTCAATACACTCATCATAAAGACGCATTTTAAAAATGAGAGAAAGTTATATTGCCTTCTGCATTTAACCCAGACTTATACAGTACTGGTGGGTCAGGTCAGTAGTTCAACAGTGGAATGCTTGCCAAACACGCATGTAGTTCCGGGTTCGATTCCTGGCGGACGCAGTCATATAACCACGCCTACACGGTAGTAAGGCCGGTGGTAAAGAGGGAAGGCTAGACGTGACACTAGCAACCACACCCCATGAATAAAAGAAACTTCGAAGATCAAGCTTGAAGCCATAGATTCCACCACTCAGAAGGCAAACTCTCATCACTTGCAGACTACTTGAAATTTCATTGCTTTTAAAAGAATGAAAATAAAACAACATCAGTGGTGGAATAACACCTGGGAATATGTTATAAAATCGAGGCGCATCCACCATGTGAACATGATAATAATCTCTTTTGATCAGGTCATCATTAGTGTATGTGGATCGCAAACTAAAAAGTGAAAGCAGGGAGAGAAACGGATTAAAAACTGTTGAGTTGTTATGTTTATTCTTTACTTTTTTCTCTCTTTCGTCCATTCCGCACCCCTTCTTGGCTTTCTATTTTGCAATGTATACTCGAACATTCCGAATGGCTTCATTTTATAACAAATACCTTAACTTAAAATAAAGAAAGAACGAACATATTTGCGAGATAATATGGCCTCGTTTTATCCCGTGGATCCTCTTCAACTGCGTACATCCTCAATAAAATCAGTTATCAGTCTCAAAATTTCTGAACACACTTCATACAATGATTTCAAGTTATAGATAGAAACTCAGAAAACCTTTAGTAGTGGAGAAACTACATGAAGAACTTCCGCAGTCCCCGGAGAAAATACATACACAATTTATCGGACATAAAACTATCAAAGGGAGAAATTTGAAAGAGGTTACTTTTTTTATTTATCCAGGAAGTATAGTTTCAACTAAAGGTAGTCGGCACGGATGAGAATATCAAAGCCAGCCAAGGTTGGAAAGGCAAGACAAACTTTCATCACTCTGAATTCAGTTTGGAAATATTCTGCACTCCGCAGCATAACCAACAAATATTAATTTAGTTAGTTCTTCTGTGTGGGTCAGAAACTTGGCATTTTCGACAGGCTACTGCAGTTATTTACCAACACCTGCCTTCACTGGCTCCATATTCAGGACCAAGTGGAAAGAAAGAATGAGCAACAAGAAACTCTGTTTACGAACCAACCAAGAACCCATATCGAAGAAAGTAGAAAACAAATTGGGCATGCACTGAGGAGACCGTCGAAGGACTCCGCAAGCCAGGACCTCGGGTCAAACACGAGTAGGAAACGACGGGTTGGGCGTTGGTCTGACGGTGACACAGAGATTGTGCAAGGAGTAGCTGCAGTCGTAGGTCCAACTAAATAGGACCTCAGAGAATAGCACAAAGTGGAGACGCACTGTTGAAGCTCACTCAGAACCCAAGGGAACAATAATAATACCCTGCTCCGATGAATCTTAATTTTGCCTTACAAGTTCGTCTTTTTCATACAGAGCTGAAGCCGTCGGAATCCACCAGAAGAAGTGATCAGAAAAAGCACGTACAACTACTTTCCTTACCTTGGCAATCAATACTTGAATGCAAAAATCAGACAATTTTCCCTTCCCCTTTTATAAGGTGTGATTGTCTAAAGTTTTTATTCTACTCTTTAATTTTCGCATTAATTTCCTCCCTAATTTGATCTGAACAACTATAACACGGCCACATTTTTACGATCACACGATCATAGTATTTGTATTCCCTTCGGTCCCTAGTTGAACATTGGGTTCCAACATCACATCGTTATTTCACTCTGACTCGATGAGTGGCAATTAGGTGCCATTTCCTCCTCCTTCCACGATCTCCTGCTTCTCATCCCAACTCGTCGTTTCCGATTAGGGTGCCACTCGAGGGCCTGGAGCGCGATATCAATGAACGGTCCAGTCCATCTCAACTTCCATCTGCACATTCCTTGAGCAATAGGTTACTGAGTGGTTCGTTGCCTGACAGAGTTTCTCATAGCTTACCTTTCCTAGCCATCTGACCCTCTTAGTCTGGAGCGGAGATAAATGTTGATGAAAGTCTAAAAGCCGTTGGAAATGCTTTTAGCGAATTCATGTGAACATGGAGTAAACAGATGTGATGAAGACACCTAACCACCACCAACAACAAGCATCATTTCAACTACAGGCAGTGGCACAGATCAGGATATCAAAGGAAATCGCCAGGATCATCGGAAAAGCAAAATAAACAATTACTTACCTCTATACTATCCGGATAATTATCCAAAGGGTAGATACACGTGACTTGTGGATTTCTTCTTTCAAGGTGATATTCATTTCCATGTGGTGATGAATACCATTCAACAGAAGATGCAGTCAACTGGCGATGATTATCCAAGCTTTTATTTGCATTCTGATTTGAATTAGAAAAACTATTCAACGAGGAACTAACAAAAAAGTAATTGAAGATTAAAAATAAAAGCCATTATTGAAGGCATATTTATGCACTTAGAATAAGAATGAACACTACTAGTAAGATATAAACATGCGATAAGGAAAGTTTATATTGGCATCTCGATATTATTGAGTTTCACTGGGATCCAAGGTGCACGTTTCGTCCCCATTAGGACTCATCAGTCGCATGTACCTACATCTCAAGTGACAGCTGGTGTTCCTCCTGAGACTCATACACAGCCACCACCGTTCCAAACGTCAAAGCGTTATTCCATAGATCCCTGGGGGCCAAAACAGTTGCCTCTAGTACAATGACTATCAATTTAGACAGAAACCAAGCATATCCGTCCAATAAAAGTCAGTCAACGGGAAATACAAGATAACTAAAGTGAATGCCATCCACTTGACGTCAGTAAGGTAAAACAAAAGACAGCCAGACAAGAGATGTTCATCTAAAGATAGCAAAAGTGAGTGTAAGCATGATATGAGAAGAGGCCTGTAACGATTTATGTAAAACAGTTAAAGGTTTATTCAGTTATTGATTTGTTATCTTTTAAAAAGCCCTCAATTCTAATTCTGTCTACTATTGAATAACCAGAGAAGTTGGTCGTCACATGATAAAATCTCTTCAACATCAATGTCGATTATCTAGAGGTAACAAGTTTTGGTGAGTTGCAATTTGATGAAGTACTTAAAAACAGAGAAATAAGAGAACTAGATTCATCACATTATTGGAAAGTAACGACAGAATTTGATGTTAGATGGTTGGAGATAATTGCTGTGATGTCTTGGATCCCTAACCAGCTGACATTCCCTAAAAGATGTAAACAGTGTCACTCAGTGCTGCAATCGAAGACTTTATCGCTGAGTTGTTCAGTCGAGAGCCTATAGGACTACAATGGACACATTGATCGTTCAATAGGCTATAATCAAGCTAGCATTTGAAGACTTATTCCAATCATGGATCTTATCAAAATTAACTCTTCACTTACGAATTCGTTAGTCAATCTAAAGTGTACGAAGGTTGTAGTTGTATTCAAACAACACATCGAGAAAGCATTTTATAGAAAATGGAGTCAGCTTCTCAACCGACTGTTGTAAGGTCATATCAAAATGATCTTGCTTAAGATTTACCTTATTTCAATGTGACTTTTATCGTGAACTAAAAACCAGTTAGGGAGTCTTTGAAAACCAAGGAGCACTAGCCAGATACTTCGTCCCGGTTTGAGAGTCCTTGAAATCACGCAGGAGCTTCAGGTTATGTGGAGAGCCCGCTAACTGTTCAGTCTCACTGTAGGGACCTAAAGACCCAAGAATTCTTAATTCAGTCAATATATATAGTGCACATATGGTGCAACCGCGTCAAACAACGTCATTGTTGAGCATCCGCTTCAAACTTGAGGTGGTTGATTCAACCAGTCGCGATTTCCCAATCGTCTTATGAATTTTCCACTGACAAACTCCTATATAGAGTTTACCAAATTACCCTTCCTGTATGAAACCTAAAAGTTACTCAGGGTGATATATAGATCACAATAGTTTACTCTATTTTCATTTAAATGCTTACGAGTTCAACATTGTAGTTTAATAGAATCATGAGTCAAAATCCACACCTGATAATTAATACTTCCAAAGAAATGAAAGACAAAATGTCTAACATTCAAGTAACCGATGTTGGGAAGACAAGAAGATAAGATGACTTCCAATGTCAATAAACTTTGTCAGCTAAGATATCCGAGAAGAGATTAGGTAGCGAGGGCCTGGTGTGCGATGTCACTCCACGTTCTCCTCAGCTAATGTCCAATCCAATTCCAAAGTTCCTTGTCGCTTATTCTTACTTGCTAGCCATGTGATCTTCAGTATGTAGCGAAGGCTTTTTTTATTCCTTTACGTTTCCAGTGGAACATAGGGCTTCAAGCTACAGCTTTGAAGTTTCTGTAGCAGTGGTATTTATTTTTACGGGATGGGGTTGCTAGCCTTATGCCCAACATCCCCTCTTCACCAGTCTTATTACTGGCTTAGCGAGGTAAAGGAGTGCGTCGGCGGCCGAGAATCGAACCCCTCACCACCTGCGTGGTTGACAAGCATTCTACCGTTGTGCCACCGACGCACATCAACACTTTCATCAACTCTAGCGAAGGCTAGTGTTGAAAGTCATTTCCGTGAGAAATATATGGAAGCATTGATGTCACATTGATGTTGAAGAGAAAGATCTTGTTCCTTATGCTGAGTGTGGCAGATTTCCACTTTGATTTTGTTCCTATCGTTGACGCTACTCAGATTAGGTAAGTGGAAGAGATGACTTCCTTCAGATTTCTCCCACTGATGGTTATTGTTGTTGTTGCTGTGGTTGGTTCGGGGGTATCTTCATCCCCTCTATCTTCACTAAGTCTCTTCGTCACTGCCTCTTCTGTCAACTTGTCAGTTTTACCCGTATGTATTTGAATTTGCATGGTCTTAGATATAAATCAGTGGCTAAATGGTCAACAGGTTCAACTGACGAAACCGGAAGGTCTTGTGTCTAATTCTCACTTGAGTCACGAATGACCACTGAAGAGTCAACATCCCCAACGAAACAGGTGTGCAACACTCCTAGTTTACGAGATCACTAGCCGGGGAGGTTGGACGTAGGGCTAGTGACCATACCACAGAAAACCAACCCAAACGCAACAGAAACTTCAAACCAGAGAACAAAAATAAACTTATTTCTTGCCAGCGAAAACCTTCAGGAAGCGAAAAGTAGGCGTGTGGACATGAAATGAAGCTGAGAATGGTGTCTACTTTGTTATTAGTATATGAAAATGCCTTTTACTGAGATGTGTCGTCTTTCTAACTAAGTCTTCGTAAATCCCTTATGGGTAAATTTTATTTTGATAGAGTCTCACAGTGTTATACAGTAATATTTACTGATGACGTTTCGAGCACAATTTATTGCTCATAATCATATCAAGTTAACTTGATATGGAATTACACTCTACCACAGTGCCCAAGTTTTATTCTTATATCAATAAGTCTTCGTAAACTTCAGAAGTCAATGGGACCAGAACTACTAAACTGATACATTTGAATGAGGCATTTAGAAGACAAATTTCGCGAGATGATACCGTCATTTCGTAGTTTCTTTACAACCGCTTAACAAATAACATGGTTAACAATAATAAAATAAAGTTCATGACAATCACTCAGTTAAATAAAAAACACAAAAGTACATACTAATGACCAATCATATTTAGATAGGTCATGTAGTCCAGGGTAGGCGAAGATTGAAGTCTATTGTTTTTTGTACACACAGTTTAAGCTGTATGTGATTAACCCGAAGTGCTCCCATCACCTTCAATAACCTTGAATTAGAGTTATGTGAAATAATTGTGAAACAGTCATTAACATTGATTTCGTGACTCGACATTAATAAGTGCTTTGCAATGGATGATGCTGGATTTCTATTAAGACTAATCACGTTGGGATTTTCTATATGATTTAGTAGCCATTTTGGAACATGTTCTTTTCGACGACATTGGAACATTCTGTTGGTTCTACCTATATAGGTGTCACCGCAGCTGCAAGTGAACTTGTAGATACAGTTTGAAGTAGAGTCCACAGAATTTCGTCCTTTAATCGTAGGTACAGGGATCGAAAATGTTCGGCATGTGAGGTTAAAAGAGATGCGGCGTAGAATGTGCGTTTGATGGCTGACCGAAGTCTTTGAGCTAGCTGTCAACTGCATAATCTGGTCACGCTTGAATGGTAGGTTAATGAAGATAGTTTTCTTTGGTACAGAAGCTGTCTTTTCGAGATGTGGTCTTTCTTTACTGTGACTTTATTGTTCGCCTACCCTGGACTACATGACCTATCTAAATATGACTGGTCTTTAGTATGTACTTTTTTTTTCATTTAACTGAGTAATTGTCATGATCTTTATTTTATTATTGTTAACCACGTTAGTTGTAAAGCGGTTGTAAAGAAACTACGAAATGACGGTATCATCTCGCGAAATTTGTTTTCTAAATGCCTTATTCAAATTTATCAAAGGGACTAATTGTTTTAAACTGATATATGTCGATAATCACTACAGATCATAAAATTCCAGTGGAAAGTTCAAAGGCGCATGATATTCCTAATTTAAGAAGGAAACTTACAGTTGACTGGAATAGATCTTTTACTGTTATATGTAACCACATATAAATTACACAACATTATGTTTTACGAATTAGGAAACAAAGGAGACACTAACCTGTTATACGTCATCCTAGCAGATGTTCTAGGAGTCTCTAGGTCTTGATTCAGACAAATTTCACTTGTTGTCTTTTGAAAGGATACAGAAACATTTCCATCACTTCGATCACTCAACAACGATGATGTAGTAGAATCAGTTGGAATACTCAACCTTGAAGAAGAATTAAAATTATGAGCAGTAGTTGCTGACTGACGAGTATTCATCATAGACAAGGCTAATGGTGGTGTATACAATTTACTCGAGTTCTGTTGTGTTTGAACAGGTGAATTGAACAGCCTGGCAAAACTATACAAAAAAAAGAGAGAAAGAGAGAGAGGTTAACTGGAAATATGATATGATTTACAAGGCTCTAATACGTCCACGTTTATTGCCACCATTTTGTAGTCTTGATACTTGTTCAGCTTTCAAATTATGCGCCAAATGAACAGCTTCTTGCAGTTCTAAAAGTTGTTCTTTATATTGATTCCTTTCGAGCAGGACACGTGCCATTTCTACACGTGAGAAACGTACACGCATAGATAGTGGAAGATCCTAGGCAGAGAGAGAAGAAAGAAATACACGTAAACGAAATGGAAAAACAAGGTATTTCGACAATTAAATACTTGATTGATTGATTGATTACAGGATTTCATCATAAGCTGATATCGATTAGAGAACCATTGGAAAACCTGGGAGTACTGAACAGCCGTCTCTTCAGCCTGGTTTGGGACTCTTCAGTAGTACGTACCAACCGCCAGGCTTCGAACCCAGGACCTTCCGGCTACAAAGCGAGCTTGTAGACATTTCAGCCACTTAGAACCGATCCGATGGCGTATAAGCAGAAGATGGAATTCATGGACTGACCATTGGATCGCGTCCCGTTGGTTTGATGGTCTACGAGCTCGCCTTATAACTGTAAAGTGCTGCAGGTTCGAACCCTGGTGGTGGGTGCGTACTGATGAAGAGTCCCAAACTAGGGAGAAACAGCTATTCATACTTTGAATTGTAATTATTTGAACAGTATTAACAATTCTATATAAACATGCTATATGGTCATCACTGCTAGAATCGAATTGTTATTATTTACATTAAACATTTATCGAAAATAATTGTTACACTGTGAAACTATGTTATTACTGCTGAATTTTGGTACACAGCTGGAGCTCAGTTATCTAGATAAACAACTGGCATTCACAATTACTACCTTGGTTCAAGACATGCCATGTATGGACCATATAAAAGACATCATCAAAACCGTCTTTTAAAAAGAAATGTTGTTCACAGCCTAGCAGTAGGACACGTGTACGTTAGCCTGTTAGTTAAAACTCAATTATCAGCCCATGGCTGAGAGTTGGTGATATTACCCAGGTAACCTAGACCGAAAAAGCTGCAGCAAGATTCGAAATATGAACTCACTGATTAAAAGCCAAGTGCTGAAGCTACTAAGCCACAACTCTACCTACGAGTGTACCTAAGGGATTGTCATGTTTTGTGACTGACAAGATTCACAGACCAATTACATCTTTGATATAAGGATAAAACCTGGCCACTGTGGTAGGCTATAACTCCATTATGGATAAAATCTTATTTTGATAAAGTCTCACGATGTTATACAATAATATTTACTGATGACCACGTTCCGAGCACAATTTATTACTGCACCTCATAATCATATCAAGGTACTCACACAACTTTCTAACTTCGTTTATATAATTCCATTATTATTTTCCATCTCTTGATTTGATTGGTGGTAATATTTACCATATTTCTGGTATTAGTGATGAGTCATTTCTGTTGCACATATTGGGTGTAGATTCGATGAATAAAGATTCAGTAATCAATCTCTCTCTCTCTCTCCATCTACCTATATTACCTTTTTAGAATTTTAATCCTCTCCCACCCTATTGTGTGGTTGTGCCTTTATGCATGCAATGGAATTACTGCTGAACTTTTTCTAAATTACTTATCTTCGTAGGATCAATCATTCTTACCTTAGCTAAATTCTTATGGTCTGGCAATCTAACTACCCTTGATCTACTGTTCTGACCTATATAGTTGACTTCACACAGTCATTATATTTCATATAATTGGACCCACCGGGTCCTTTAGCCTACAGAACTTATCCCTGAGTGGGTTTTACGTGTGAATGCCATCTTAATTCCGGCTTATATGGTAAAACTGTGGTTGCCTTATATTTGCTCTTCTTTATGTTACCATTATAACTTTCACCATTATTTTTACTTTGCTTTTGACCTTTTTTGATATTCCTAATGAATTTCATAGGATAGTTAATTATCTAACACCAACGCTTCTCCTTCTAACCATTTCATTTCATCATTTCGGTTTTCTGTTGTACTACTTAGTGCTACTGCTCGGTTTGTTAGACACTTAACTAAGCCTGCTTTCACAGACAGATAACGGATCAGATGAATTAAAGTCTAAATATCCTATTAGCAGAATGTGTTGGCTCTTTGTGCAGTTTAAATTCTTCCGTTCGCTTTATTTAGATTGTAAAATCTAACACGATAACGAATTCTCCTTGTTCATTTTCCGATTCAAAGCCAACGCATTAATAGACAATATGATTATAAGCAGTAATAAATTGTGCTTGAAACGTGGTCATCAGTAAATATTACTGTATAACACTGTGTTACTTTATCAAAATACAAATTTTCTCCATAATGGAGCAATTACATGTTTATTGAAAAAAATCTACACGATTTCATGCGTTCTAATGTCTACGGTGCATATTGAGTGACAGTTGATGAAACTGAAAAACACGCAATGCAAGTGAAACCAAGTGGTTGGTAGTTTCCCAATCAGGCCACACACACATACACACCCCTCAAGCATACATGTAACCACAAGACTACGATATTCAATAAAATGAGGCAACGTAAAAACAAGCCCAAACAAATAAAAAAAAAAACGGCCTACTTCACAATCGTTTGTTTCATCACCAGGTAAACTTCCATACAGGTCAGGATTTTCAAATTCTCGACGTAATTGACCATTTTCTTGTTCTAAATCTTTAATACGCAACAGCATACTAGCTCGATTGGTAATCAAAGCGTTCAGCTCAGAGGAGAATTGAAAATTTTGACTGAAAAATTAAAGGTAAAAGTATAGACAAAAATTTGATTCGATTTGGATGTTAAGGGAGATGAACATTGATTTTTTTTCAAAATATACGACAGTAGTATAGTTGGATTAAAGTATACTTCAAGGACTAAAGCAATCGATTGTATAGAGGAATAAAAATTCACTACTGTGATTACATAATCTACAAAAGTATCATAAAACGACGTCTGAGAAAAACTAATAGATGGTTAGACTGAAAATTGATCACTATCTCAAATGTATTTAGCATTTTTTTAGCTTCCCAAAGTTTCATTATTTATTATTATTATTTTCTATAGATGGTTTGTAAGGGTTAGTTTTGTTTCTACGAGTTGATCACGGATTAATATCAGTTTAGAGAAGCATTGAAAACCAAATAACATAAATATCCTTAGTCCCACAACGCCACGTCATGGGTTGACCACCTCTCCGCTTTTTCCATCCCGTCCCAGGGTTAGCGAATAGAGACCTGTACGCAAGCCCCTGGAATGATATTCGCAGCATATGTCCAAGCCACCGAAGCTGGTGTTTCTAGATGAAACGACACTCAACGAATGGTGACTTCCACTGTGTCCAAACACACGCCTCACATCCTTCAGAGATGACTTCAGAATGTCATTGATGGCAAAGTTAAAGAGAAATCGAGAGATCGGACAACCCTGTAATGATAGTTGGTTGTATGCCCTCACTCTACCTGAGGTGTTTCTGTATAGGACTTTCAGGATGTTAGCAAACTTTTCAGGCACACCCGTCTCTAACAGACAGTTCCAGAGCACAGTTCCATCCAACGCATCGAAGGCAGACCTAATATCAAGATCGTTGGCCTGCAATACGTGTGGCGGTGTTCCAACACCTGACGAAGGGTGGACACATGATCAATGTCTCCACGACCCAGACAAAACCCAACCTGCTCTTCGCGAATCAATCCCTCACGTATTTTGCACAGCTTGCGAAGCAAGACAGCAACCAATATTTTAGACGCAACTGGTAGCAGACTGATACCCCTATGGTTATCGCATGAGCTACTCCAACCCTTTTTAAAGATAGGGACGATAATGGCTTCATTTCACATCGATGGTACATTCTCAGTCTCTTATACTTCCCTGAATAATCCAGTTAAAGCCATAACAAGAGTCTCGTCACCATCTTTAAAGAGAGCCGGGGGTAGATTGTCTGGGCAGGATCTTCCCAAAGTTGTCTAGACTTAATGCTCATCTCTGTCTTGTCCACAAAATCCAATGTTCCACTGATTCGAGTGATTTTAGAGAATTAAAATTCATCCTCGGCAAATAAGTCAATTTGAGGTGAAAATCTATCACAGTATCCTTTAGTAACCGACAACATTCACTTCATATTTGTGTGTGTGTGTGATCTGACTGACTAAGTTTCAGTATGGAACTTCACACAGAAGCACAGCAGTTCAACTTTCCACACACCATTTAGCACACAAACATAGAAAACAGACATTCAGAAGAAGTGTGATACGTAGAAACGTACAGGAGAAAGAATACAGATGCACCAGTGAGAACGAGTTTGACCTATATTACCAGTAGTCGTAAGTCATTGGTCCTTAGCATTCCGAGGATCCCAATCAAGGCAGTCTACAAATCTCTTCGTGGCTCAAACTAACTGTCAAGGACTTCATGTTTTGATGGCAGGTTTTAGTTTGATCACCCCTAACTCTTCTCCAATCTACTCTTATGTCAGTTAACACTGCTCGACGAGGAAGGTAGGGAGAAAGGCGGTGGCTCGGAATGAGCAGCATGTTTTCTAGCTGTCTCAATCAACTTGCCTTCACAACGTCATCGGTTGACTTTCCCTCCTTATCGAACGCTCAACGCCAAACCTCAGTATTACCCACCATACTATACCATCTAACAAGAGAGACAGGACACAAACATCTATGACCAAAGACTGCTAACCTTCTTCATGTCTTTCACTTTTAATGGCCATATCTCACAGCCATGTGTCCTTTGATTGATAACCAGCCGGATATATCAGGTCTAAATCAGAAATGACATAGTTTGGCAAATACCACGCGAGGCTTTTCTATCGGTGCTGTAATTTTTTCAGCAAGACTTGCAAAAGAAATGAGAAGGTATGGTAGGAATCTATAAAGGTAGATGGAGTAGAAGTGAACTCTGCAAATTCTTACGGGAGAGTCAATAATCTACTCCAGCCACACAGAAGATACACACACAGAAACAAACTGAGGGTGTGGCTATCACGATTTCACCGATAGCATTAAAGAAACTTATGCAGTGGGAACCAATCTCTACCAAGATTATGACAGCAAGATTTAAATTAAAGCGAAGAACAGTTTACATAAAATAAACTCCCATGAGGGTGTTCAAGCCACCATAAACGACTTGGCATGGCCAAGGGTGTGTAGACTTAGGTCTCTACCTAAAAATGCCGTCATGTGAACACACATCGATAGCCTGTGCCAGGTGTTCCTCACAAAACTGAAAGGGTGTTAGCGAACGTCTGTAGCTTACAACCAGACTAACGGATATGGCGGTCCACCTGGAGGAACTGGAAAACCCTAATTCCAAACCTGTGGTGTATATGGGTTTCAGAATCCGAAAGAATCGAATGGCATATGACCTTGTTTTGGTCACCAGATACCATGGGAACGTAGCTCATAACTTTTCACCACTACTGTCTTATGGATGAAACTTAAAGACAAATGCACAAGAAGGTGGCGCTATAATCTGGGCTTCCCACCGGTACCTCAGCCCTCGTCCAAACTGTGATAGTTTGCCTTGTGCATCTCTTAGTGTTCATATTATACCAAGTTTCAGTTCTACTAATCAAACAATAAAGATAATCAATATATTTAATCTGAAAGAATTCAAAGTCATCAGTTTATCATTGGAGTAACAATTTAAATGCTAATTATAATATTATACCGTAACTATGGATATGGTAATCATGATTTCCTAAATTTAGGATACAAGATGAATATCCAAAAATAAACGACAGTGCTTTAGAATTTTAATTTCAGTAAAGTGAGAATGCATGAAATTCAATCTAAAAAAAAGTAAAACTCTATATCAGTGAAATAATATCCTATAACAAACACTATGCTCTGGTAATTCGAATCCAGTAAAAGGAAGATAAAAATTTGGATTAGAAAATTCGAAACCAGCAAACAATAATTATGATAAATAGTGTTATGCATCAATCACATGCACGTTAATGCATTTAAAAATTGTGTGTGTGTTAGAGAGCTACCTATCTAGCAAAACCTCGATAGGTTGAGTAGGTTTCAAACCGGTTGGAAGTCGAATGCCTAATCCAAAGACATAATTATAACAACCATACTACAGCAGCAGCAACATCCAGCGCCAATCACCATCAACGGGAGGGATTTGAAAGAGGTTACTTCATTCACTTATCTAGCGGAGCATTGTCTCAACTACAGGAGGAACGGACGAGGATGTCAAATCGAGAATCGGGAAGGCGACAAACACATTCATCAACCTGAAACCAATCTGGAAATCTTCTTCACTCAACATCAACAACAAAATTCGGATTTTCAATACAAACGTCATGTCAGTCAGTTCTTCTATACGGATCAGAAACTTGGTGGGTCACAAAGAATATTTCCAACAGCCTGTTGCAGACTCTTCTTTTTTCTTTACTTCGGCTATCTCCTACGGGAGGATGAGCCAGCTTCATGAACATCTCGAATCATCGCTGCCCAGGCGCGGCGATCTGATGCAAGGTTTTGCGACAGGGTTATCCAATTCTCGTTCCACTGACGGAGTCCGTAGACGGTTTGTAGCCCCAGGCACTCCATATCAGCCTTGACTGTACCAAGCCATGTTTTCAGCTGTCCACCCGTGCGACATCGCCAAGATGGTAATGACGAGGGATTTAGAACTGATTTGACCAGATCGTCATCTGGTCGGCGCAGAACATGGCCAAACCACCGAAGGCAACGTTGTAAGAGAGTTCATGAAGTTTCATGGGAATTTGGTACGAGTGATGTCCCCAGAATCGCTCGGCCTTTTGTTTGAGAGTGCAGCTCTAGCCTTTACACAACCAAGTGTGACCTACAAGGCAGTAGGAGTGGAGTAGGGAGTCCACTATCCATTGGCAGCCGGTGACCGAAGTTCGGTTCATACGCCTTATTGAATGGGGCCAGACATCCAGGACATCCAACAAGCCCTTTGTCCATACGTCTGCCGGTGAGCTCCAGTGAGCTTCATACGCCAGTCGTTGGAGGTTTGGAATCAGGGTTTAGCCATCTCCCCTAGATTGTCATCCAATGGACAGTCAACCCGGTGAAGAGCGCCGGGCATCCGCTTTCGCCCTCTCACTTTGGTGAAAAACACCTCCGCCACGTGAAGGCAGTGAGTAGGACTTCCTCAGGAGAGGCTATTTAAGACGCCCGGTCATATGGGAGCATTTCAAGAGGTGTGAGGAGGGGTGGCCAACCCGCAGCGCAAGGCACCCCCCCCGACCATCCTGAGGCTTTGGAGGCAGACCTTTATCAACAGCTGTCTTCGTTCTATACTCAAGATTAGATGGCCGCCGGAAAGAATCACCAACAAGAAACTATGGGAACAAACGAAACAAGAGCCAATCACCCAACAAATATGCAGGAGAAAGTGGAGATGGATTGGACACTCGCTGAGGAGGCCGCTGAGTGACATCGCGCGTCAGGCCCTCGAGTGGAACTCGAAAAAGAAGCGGCGAGTGAGACGTGCAAGGGTGACATGGAGGAGATCGTGTGAACAGGGACTGAAACAGTATGGATTAACATGGATGTAAGTGAAAATTACAGCAGAAGACAGAATCAAGTGGAGGCGTGCAGTTGAAGCCCTATGTTCCACTAGGAACCCAAGGGAACAATAATAATAATGCAGTGGGAAATAGCACAGTCTCAGATTTCTTTCACAGTTAATCTTATAAAGCCTTATGAGGTTAACTTCCACACTTTGGTAAAAGATCATGATATCCGTCAATGTCTTT